GCTCCACCGACATGCTTGGCGGGGCCACTATTTGCCTTTCGGCCTCGTTGTCGAGGTCGTTTGTTGGGGTAGCCTCCCCCTCGTGGACGCTTTGACGTGCCCCTCGGGGGTACCCGTCATGTAGCATTCATGAGAAGGATGATGGCTTCCCCTGCTAGAGTCAGATCCAGAGGGCGACTCTGGCTCCTCTGCTAGTAGGTCGTGGAAAGATTCCACGACGTGTTCGATCACCCCCACGAATTCATCGTTCGTGGGAGGTGGAACCATGTGTTGTGCCACATGGTGGCTAACGGTCGCCGCGGCTCTGCGGAGACCGAACAGAAGCACTATCGAGGTGCTCCGTATGAGGTGTTCCGGAGGGAGGGGTTCCCCTCCGGTGAACCGCACCATGTCGTTGGCGTCAGAGTAGGTGAGGCGGCGCGGGTCCTCCCTAGACGGCTGGGGTCCCAGGGAGACATCGAGCTAGCGCTCAAGCCTCCTGTAGTCGAGGCCGATGGAGGGGAGAGGTTGGATGGTGGCGCGAACCAATGCCAACTCTCCTCCCACCGTGATGATGAAGTACAGGTCTCTGAAGCGCACGTGTGTGCCCGAGACCCAGCTGATACCGTGGCTAGCCATTTGTGGCCTAGTGTTAATGTCTAAACACAAAGGTCCCCTACCTGGCGCGCTAACTATCGGTGTTTTGAGTAAACACTGTTCGGGCTAAATTTGTGAAAGGGCTTAAAGCTGGATCTTGTCATATCCTAAAGGTTTATACTAGTTCGGGCAGGTATGGTCATCGGTTTGTACGGTTGACTTGAGTGCCCCGCCTTATAGTAGGGGTTACCAGTAGTTATGAAGGAGGTCCCGGACGGGACGATGGAAAGGTCGAATGGAGCGAGAGCTTGGAGCCGCCCAGACGCCGGGTGTTGAATTGATTGGTCTCCTTAGTGGGGACCTTCCCTTTTATAGACCAAGGAAAGAAATCGCCCTAAGACAGAAAAGCGAGGTGGAGGTCGTTCAAAGATGCGGGTCTTCCTTTTCCTCTAAGAGGCGGAGTCGAGGATAGCTCCGGGTTAGGGCGAGTCTGTTGAGTGATAGCCCTCGACGCGTCGGGCGAGGTGGAGCCATGCCTCGCGGAGTGGCCGGGCTTTGAGGCGGGGGCCCATGGTCCCGGTGGATGGACGAGGAGTGATCCGCAAGCGGTGTGATGTGAGAGTTCGCTCTCGATCGGTAGTGGTGAATCAATGATCGCGCCCGAGGGCAAATTAGCTCCTCCTCTAAGGTACCCTAATATTGGTCCCCGACAATTGGACGCTTAATTTCATCTTCATATATGTCATATACTTGATGACGAGGTGCCTCCGTGGTGGTGACGAGGTACCTGCCTTCGATCAAAGATCTGAAGCCCGCAATGGTGGACAGGTGGTGCGGCCCCGGCGTGGGAGGAGAATCACAATGCTCGGGCGAGTGGAGCAGCGTTCGGCGAGATGCCAGTGCACCACACCATTAAGGCAACCTCAACCTCTCAGAATACGCGGTTAGATGGATACGCGAATTCATTTCTTTATTTTAACGCTCAACTCACAAGATCTGAGGGCTGAGGCACAAGCTCACGACAAGAACCTAGCATGGACAGTGGTGTTCTGTCTACTAGCTATAATTCTATAGATGGTTAACATTTGATTGTTACGTTGCACAACATTGTGATCATTAGACTATGTATATGCTTTGCGCGGCCTTTTTTTTTTTTGCAAAATGTTCTGCAAGTAAATACTACTGCTCACTCATTCCTCCGAGAAAAAAAGCCTCCTCTAACGTGTGCAAATGCAGTATGTTCATATATATGAATTGATTTGTAGAAAGAATAAGATTTTGACATTGTAATATGGCTTTAATAAACATACATGATGTATGTGCATGTCTAGTGGTTAAAAAGATGTAATTAAAAAGAGAGAGAAAATAATCGTTCCTGCGCACGGGTGAGGGAATGAGCTCGGGTACTAAATAATATTTAGTATCCTGGTACTAACTAGCCCAGTCATATATATATTTAGTATCCTGGTACTAAATAATATTTATTTATTTATTTATTTATTATCCTGGTATTAATATTTTGTAGCCCGCTACAAGATAGTAGTTCTATATATAAAGAGAGTATATTCATTGTAATATGGCTTTATAAAATAAGTGATGTAGCCATCTCTATTTAGATTATAATTTTATATACTAATCGTTCCTACGATAATGTCAATACATATATTTAGTATAGTTGGGTTACTATAACACATGGGGATATTTATATATATACGTTATAGTAAATATATATATATAAGGATATATATAATCTTATAAATTAATATATATAATTATATATATATATATATATATATATATAATAAGTTATTTTATAGGAGGGAAAGATTATATACCCACACATGGAACTTGATTGGTACAGGTTTTGAGAAAAGGCCCAAGCCACTAGCTACGGTCATGGGCCTACGTGGGCTGCACTTCCTTGCCCAATAAAAAACATTTGGCCCTTTTGTTCAGATGGCTATTCTAAATAGAAAAGAAAGAATGGAGTATAATCTTCCTCTCGTCTTTTGACTATATAAGGAGGGCCTCAATTTTGCTCTTTCAGATTCTTTAGAAAGTTGTTGCTTGCAGTTTAAGAAGACTATGTCCCTCATTTTTTTTTCCAGTGTGTGATGTGATGGGATACAGAGGTAGGGTCGAGAGAGAGAGAGAGAGAGAGAGAGAGCGGCTTACCATGGCTAGTCGGAAGGACAATCTTTCACACCTGCCATGTTTCTTTTTTAACCAAACATATGTGGCGGATAGGCATTGAGTTTTGCTGTGTCCTTGGCGTCTCTCCCACAGCGATATATAGCATCCACCGGTCCTTGCGTCTCTCCCACAGCAATATAGCATCCACCGCACCTTGCATGACAGCATGACCCCGGCACATGAGCAACACAGCTCCCAATTTGGGGGTGCAACACAAACACATGAACAGCCAAAATAAACTGATTTGACTCACATCCAAATCAATGAAATATAGATTTCCCCCCCCTACGTGATGTACTGATCAGATTGTACGACACAGAAGTTAGCCAATAAATAGTTATACAAGACTATAGGTCAATGGATAGGAATATATGTGTAAGAGCAAGTTATATATCGAACTAGATGTAAGCAGCAAGGTTTCTGAAGTAACACCACTGGGAATCTTGTCTTGTCTAGCAAAATAGTGTCAATGCATGTGAGTGTCTAGATAGTTGACATCTTTATTGCAAACTTTTCTCTAGTAGGCCTAGTTAATCTGAGCAAGCGACTGAACCGGTGTTTTTCCTAAAAAAAAAAAAAATCAGTCAATACATACTACATGACAAAGCATATTTGAAAAGTCAGAAGAGGTAGCTAGGACTGTTTACTTGTCATCACACAACACACATGACACATGCATGCATTTTACTAGTAGCAGCGGTACTCGGAATCCGTCCACCCCAAGTCAATGACAAACCAAAACCCAAATCTTACACGTTTTATGTTACTCGGACCCGTATCTTTTTGTTTGTTTTGATTTGATTTGATTTGACAGCCCGGTGCTTTTCTGGCTCCGCCACTCAATTTGATGGAATAATCTCTGGCTCGCAATTGTGCGCCTCACTCTCACTCACGCCCCAACAGCAAGTGACGACGAGAGAGGGAGAGGGGACACGCACTTTCTATTGCCGTGCTCTCATGTATTATGCATATGAAATAATGCTTACTGAATGTTAGGTACGGGACGAGACTGAAGAAGTTGAGCTTACTACGTGCACTTGCGTCCAGTAATACGTAACCAAACCTGCTTTGCACATACAATTATGTGAAAACACGTGCGAATGTACAAAAGGAAAAATTACCCAAAGGAAGCAGGCAAGCAAGCAGCAGTATAACACACATACACAAAACACATGTAAAGCAAAGGCAACTCTCTCGGGACTCAGACAAACAACGACTGTGCTGATCCATCAGCATCATCGGATGACAAAAACGTTAAAAAAAGGCAGAGGCGTAACCGGTAAAAATAATTAGTTACCTGGTGATGATTAGTTACCTGAAAGTGAGAGGCAATGGTAGCCAGGAGTTGGCTGCCATGCATGTCACCGGGTGGGGCGCGCAGCCACGTCGGACAGGTGCAGCCAGGGTGAATCCAGGCTTTTTCAGGTGTCACCACTCAGCGGCCTCCGATGTACGCACACACAGCAGAGGCATGTGAGCTTGGCGATAAGCTTATCTATCCTCACCACACCTTCCGACTCTCCCGTCTCCTCCCGTCCCTTCCTCTTGGCTGGGCGGCTGGGCGCTGGCTTGGTTTGGCTTGGCTGGCCCTTCTTCTCTCCACGTCTCTCCCTTCCTCTTTTCTTCCCTCTCCTTTTCCATCACATGAACAAGACCCACAAGTATTGTATTGGCGTCCTATGCATGCAGCCCAAGTGCCTAGTGTAGTGTACTAGTCCTAGTCCGATCCTATGCCAAGAAATGCATGCTTGTCGACGATCCAGCCGCACACTTAGCATATGCGAAATCCCAGATCCCCATTGGAGCAGCAGGAGCAGGAACTAAGCAAAGCGAGTGGTGTTGATAAGAGGTGAGTGGCCAGTACATTCGACGTTGCAGTGGAACCTTTCTGTTTTGCTCCTCCGTCTGTGCTTGAGCGTGACTCATAGCAGCAGGCTGTAGCCGGAGAGAGAGAGAGAGAGTGCTGTGTGTGTGTGCAGCAGACAGACGCACACGGACACGGCGAGGCGAACCACTGGCCGATAGTGCGGCCAGCACCAAAGCGTGCGTCTGCAAGAACCCCTTTTTTTCCCCCTCCCCTTTGCAGTCCAGTCATCCTAGAGTGATGACTTGTTAGTTCCTCGCACATGACATACCTTCATCTTGCAGGAGAGGCCGGAGTTGCTCCTCGCTGTTCTGCTGATTGGTCTAGTCTCATCCCATCATCGTCTTCAAGATAAGATAGCAAATATATGGCCATCATACTCGTACGAGCAGCATCGCCGGGGCTCTCCGACGCCGCCGCCGCCGTGCGGGACATCGGCGGCATCAGCCACCACGGGAGTCTCCAGTGCTCCTCTCTGCTGAAGAAGAAGCCGGCCCGGCGGTGGATGCTCTGCTCGCTCAGGTACGGGTGCCTTGGCCTCGACCCGTGGGAGGTCGGCCGCGCCTCCTCCCCCGCCGTGTACTCCAGCCTCGCCGTCAACCCCGCGGGAGAGGCCGTCGTCTCGTCCGAGCAGAAGGTCTACGACGTCGTGCTCAAGCAGTCGGCATTGCTCAAACGCCAGCTGCGCAAGCCGGTCCTCGACGTCAGGCCCCAGGACCTCGAGATGCCGCGCAACGGGCTCAAGGAAGCCTACGACCGCTGCGGCGAGATCTGTGAGGAGTATGCCAAGACCTTTTACCTCGGTATATATCTTTCCTCTCAATCCACAATTCCATAAAAAGGTCGTCAATCTTCGTCTCATCATTTCAGTCTTCGTTCATGTCTGTTCGTGGCAGGAACTATGTTGATGACAGAGGAGCGGCGCCGCGCCATATGGGCCATCTATGGTATCTGTCTCAACAATAATAATCACCATGTATCCCTCCTGTTCCATTGCTTATACCTAGTAGCATGTACGTATCAATCAGTAAATTTCAGAATGGCTATTATTGGAACTGGATGCACTGTACTAGCTAGTATGTTTCCCTTAATATATATCTTAGATATGCAAGCACTTGTAACTTGTGCTGCTGTGGTAAAAAAAGGACTTTAACAGCAGATTCCAACAATCACAATGAAAATTGGGCTACTTTTCAAGTAATGGTATCAACTAGCTCTCAGTGGAAATTAATATAATATTGAAAAGGGACCTCTGGATTAATATTAAAAAAGAAACACTGTTGTTGATTTCCATGCAGGGTATTTGTGAGTCAATGGTGAATAAAGGTCTAATGCACTTCTTAATGGAAATGTATATGTATGTGGAAGCACCAAAATAGGCTTTCGGTAGCCTAAAATGCTACTAAATGGCTTGATCAATACTTTAAGACCATGTGGAAAGTTATGAGAACATGTTCTTCGTAGTTCAAACTACCTGGAATATGAATCTGATGTATTGGCAATTTTAAATGAACTACTTCAGGCACAGTATCTGACGAGTAGTGTTTCTGCAGTGTGGTGTAGGAGGACAGATGAGCTTGTAGATGGGCCAAACGCCAACTACATTACGCCGACAGCTTTGGACCGGTGGGAGAAGAGACTTGAGGATCTGTTCGCGGGACGTCCTTATGATATGCTTGATGCCGCTCTCTCTGATACCATCTCAAAGTTCCCCATAGACATTCAGGTACTAGCTGGCTGCTCTATCTAGCGGATTCAACTGATATGTCACTTTTGGACAACAGTTATTGCTATTTCTAATTAGCATTAGATTCTCTAGGCCTCACTATTTTAGTGCAAGATGACTAGACCTACTGAGTTGACAGGAAGAGATTGTTTTGTATACTCAACTAAACTGTAAGGTTTTTCAGCCTTCAGTAGTATCTATAATGCTTTTGTTAAGTTCGATGAACCTCGCACATATCGTGGTGGGCCTAGTCCAGTTATATGGACCAGGAGAGGAGTTTGGGTCAAAGCTGTTTTGTCGAATTTAATTTTTTTTTTTTAAAAAGGTGAATTGTTTCTAGAGCTCAGCCCTCACAGCAAAACTTAGAGCGAGAGGCAATAACTCGGATTTATTTCATGGCCAGTTGGTCTGACCTTTTAAGAAACAAAAGGTAACTATATGACCAGCACAAGAAGAAAATAGCTAGGATCTAGATAATGATTGAGAAGGAAAAGATTCAGAAAAGAAAAGTCCAAGCAACTAAAAATTAGACCTGGGAAAGTGACTAAGAGAAAACTATCTGTGCTACTTAGTGGTTTGACAAATTATGAGAAAACTATATGTGGTACTTAGTGGTTTGACAAATTATATTGCACATACCAACATTCTAAAATCAGTAAATCTTGTGCCAGCCATTCAGGGACATGATTGAAGGGATGAGGAGTGACCTTAGGAAGACAAGGTATAACAACTTCGACGAGCTCTACATGTACTGCTACTATGTTGCTGGAACTGTCGGGTTAATGAGCGTACCTGTGATGGGCATCGCACCCGAGTCTAAGGCAACAACTGAGAGCGTGTATAGTGCTGCCTTGGCTCTCGGAATCGCTAACCAACTCACGAACATACTCCGGGATGTTGGAGAGGAGTAAGTAACTATTTTCCCACAGATTCTTTCTGCAACAGGCACAAACATGTTAAAATAGCACAGCTGTAACCATCTCCACTGTGGCCATCATGTCTTTTAGTGCTACAAGAGGAAGGATATATTTACCACAAGATGAGCTCGCACAGGCAGGGCTCTCTGATGAGGACATCTTCAAAGGGGTGGTCACAAACCGATGGAGAAACTTCATGAAGAGGCAGATCAAGAGGGCCAGGATGTTTTTTGAGGAGGCAGAGAGAGGGGTAACTGAGCTCTCACAGGCTAGCAGATGGCCAGTAAGTCCAATGACTTCAGTACCTCACATTGTACAGCAGTACAGCATCCTCGCTTCTTTTGTGTTAGCAAAGTAAAATGGACTTCCTTGATCCATTGCAGGTATGGGCTTCCCTGTTGTTGTACAGGCAAATCCTGGATGAGATTGAAGCGAACGACTACAACAACTTCACAAAGAGGGCCTATGTTGGTAAAGGGAAGAAATTGCTAGCGCTTCCTGTGGCATATGGGAAATCGCTACTGCTCCCGTGTTCATTGAGAAATAGCCAGACCTAGCCACCAGAGAAGCTGAAAGAAAAGAGGTTCAGGTTAGGCTAGATAGAAATTAAATAGGCAATGTCATCACATCAGGCCTGATGAGAATAGACAACCTGGTGAATTGGCGGGGTATCATATGAATTGTTGGGATCAGGTACAGCACAGAGTAAAGCAGCACAGCCAACCTAGATGGATATGTAACATTATATTCGCATGTATATCCTCTTATTAATTAGGAGCATATATGTGTCTCCAGGAAAGAACCAACATGTATACTGTTTTCTTTTCTCATCCCAGATTTGGGGGAAACAATGGTGACGCTCTGTAAATGCCAATGGTAAATGGTATATCGTGGGAAGCTTATTAGAAGTTTGGTTTGCTAGAAACAGATCAGTTGGCATGGAGAGGCCACTCCGGTTAGACTTGTGGGATCAGACTGAAATTGATAATGGATTGTCCTCCCCTTGCTACTCCAACTATAGCAAGGAATCCGTCAACAGTCAGTAGCTAGCTGCGAGAAGAGGCATTCGAGGGAGACGAACTGCGAGATAGGGTAGGAAACCGACCTCGATTCCATAGGTCCGTCCAACAAGACGCGCCCGCTGAGATGCCTCCGCTGCCACGGATACCGTCACTTCGCCAGAGACTGCAAGAGGCCGAGGTCTCCAGCCAACGGCGGAAGCCGCAGTGCTGCGCCGGACCGCTTCGTCAGGGCGCGGTGGGGTCCAAACAGCGCCGACACACCAGAGGGCTCCCAGGCGGGTGGCGCAGCGACGCCAGACAACCTGACGGCCGACGACACCCCGGCGGGTTCCCAGGCCACCGGCACAACACCGCCCAACAGCCCGCCGCAGGCATCCGCTGGCAGTCCGGTGCCCATGGATCGGGACCCACTGCCGCCCGGCCACCCCGAGGAGCGGCAGTGGGAAAGCGCGTGCATCATTCAGCGCAGCGCAGCCATCGACGAGGCCGAGGCAGGGTTGCATTTCGCCATCACCGCCATGGCCGCGGATGCGACCTGCGACGTCTCCACCGCCAACGCCACCCGTGCGCTGCGCACCATCCAGGGCGTCGAAGAGGGCTCCTTCTCCGTCACGCCGTTCTACCCCGAGCACTTCCTCGTTCAGTGCAGATCGCAAGCAGCCCGGGACCGAATCATGGGGGCATCCCCGGTGCCCGTCCCCGGCACGTGGCTCGTGCTTCGCCCATGGACGCGGCTCTCCCACGGCGTGACTGGGACAATGAAATTTATGGTGGCAATCGAGCTCGAAGGTATTCCACCCCATGCTTGGGCTGAGGACACGGCGCCGAAGATTCTTGCGCCGAGCTGCTGGATCCACACCGTCGACGAGCAATCGCTGTCCAAGGCGGATCTTTCGGCGTTCAAGTTATCGGCCTGGACATGGGACCCCAGGGCCATCCCCAAGGTGGTCTGGCTCCACATCGCCGAGAACGAGATCATCCATGTCGGCGCCGCGGCCAACCCCACCTTCGGCAACCTGCCGCCGTACCTAAGGAAGAAGGACGTCCTTAGCTACCGGGTGCTCGTGCACTTACGCCACGTCACGGACTTCGACCCGGACAACCCTTCCCCGCCAACATCGCCGCCGGAGTCGGATGACGGCGACGGCGGCCACGACGGGAACCCTGACCGCCATCACTTCTCCAGGGGAACGGCACCGCGCATTCAGGGATTCCAGTGCCACCGGGGAACCGTCGACGGGGAGCAGCCGGCCGTCAACAACGGAAGCGGTGCGTTCATCGGTCGTACGTTCAACGTCAGCGGGCCTCACCTATCCTTCCAGCACGGTACAGCTGTAAAGCAAGATACCTAGCCAGGCCGCCCTGATCCGGTCTCGCAGTGCAACCCCTGTGCGGCTGCAGATGAGACAAGCGAGGGCGGGCCAAAAAGCAGGGAGCAAGACAGCGTTGAGTGCCACTTCAAATTTATCCGGCCACAAGACTACAACGGAAGCGCTGGAGGGCAGCCGGCCTCGGATCCCATGGTCCTTGAGGCAGAGCTCCTCAGCGGGACAGCTTCTCAAAGCAGGCCAGACAGCTGCCATGAACCCTGCAGCAAGGAGGACCAAACGGGGCCAGCCACCCATGAAGAGATGGTCCTGGGTGATGCGGGTGCCGCCAACTCCGTGCCCGCGAACGTGACCCTGGGACCGGTGGAACATGCCGCTGCGGACCGAGATCGTCATGAAGAAGATGGGCTTCACGCATCCGAGCGCCCAACCCTCCTCTGGGGAAAGGCGCAACTTCGATGCATTCTTCAGCAGGAACAACTCGCCGGCCACTCGCCGCGGCGGCCTAAACTTAGGTCCCACACCAACCGGTTGTTCCTGTTTCTATGGATAACACAACCGTATTGTCATGGAACGTGCGCGGCCTCAACGCGCGAGCGCGGCGGGATGCAGTACGTTGATGCTTCGGCTAGACTGCGCGCAGGAGCGGCAACATCTATCAGACGCAGAGAACGCCCTTAGGAAACACCTAAAGATGAGGTGCTTGGGCCTGTCCTCGCTGGAATGTACAATGGCCAGGCAGCGGTCTTGTATTCGGCAGCTCAGCAACGATGATGCGAACACTGCATATTTTCATCTGATCGCCAGAGGCAGGAAGCAGCGGAGCTACATTCCGGCCCTGTTGGTCGACGGCCATATCATCGCGGATCATAGCGACATGGAGCTGGCGCTACACACACACTTTGCCAGGGTGTTTGGTTCAGTGGCAAGCGGGGGACGAACCCTGAACTTTGAGGCAGTCGGGTTCCACCACCTAAATCTGGACGGTCAAGATCTGCATTTCAGCACCGAAGAAGTTTGGGCGGCAATCAAGGCCGAGCGATAGGGCTCCGGGACCGGACGGCTTCACCGGAGCCTTCTACAAATCCTCATGGCCGGTCATCCAAGATGAAGTCATGGAGGCAGTGCACGCGTTTGAGCTGGGGAACACCAGGAACATGAAGCGCCTAAACAATGCACTGATTATGCTGCTCCCAAAGAAGGTTGGCGCAAACTGTCCATCAAACTTTAGGCCGATCACGATGATTCACAGTTTTGCAAAGCTGATCTCCAAGTTGCTCTCACTTCGCCTAGCGCCTCGGCTGGCTGAAATGGTGAGCAGGAGCCAAAATGCCTTCATCAGAAGCCAATCTATCCATGACAACTACAAGTACATGCAGCGAGCAGCAGTGCTGATCAGGCGGAAGAAAATCCCCATGCTGTTGTTGAAGCTTGACATATCCAAGGCGTTCGACACCCTCTCTTGGCCATTCCTGCTGGAGGTACTGCAAGCGCAGAGGGGTTCGACAGGGGGACTCCCTGTCCCCGATGCTATTTATAATAGCAATGGACGTCCTCCACAGGCTGTTCAGTAAGGCGGCGTAAGACGGAGTGCTGAAGAAGATGGTGTCGGTGTTTCGGACCTGAGGTCCTCAACCAACCAACTAGTGAATTTGAGCTACGTGCCCCTAATCCCGGATGGTGATGCAAAGAGACATAAGGTGTATACTGGTTCAGGCAATCGGTGCCCTACGTCCAGTCTGAGAGATCGATCTTGTATTCCTTGCACCGAAGTGCTTGTAGTAGGGGGTTACAAGCTAGGTGAGAGAGGGAGTCAGTCCCAGGTCTCGGCGAGGTGTGAGATGGGTCGCTTGAGACGTTGCTCTCAGGCGGCAGCAAAATGTGTCTGTTACAGGGTGTTGTTCTTCGTCCCCCAGAAATGGCCCTGGCTGCCCCCTTTTATAGCTGTAAGGAGGGAGCCAGGAATACATGAGAGAGCTACACGTGGAGCCTTTAGAAGGAAGATCTAGTACTCTATCCCTGCAGTAGCACAGTGTCGGGAATGGCAATTGGTACTTGATCACGGGTGCGTCACGCAGGCCATGCCCGAGGCTGTTGAGGTCGTGGGAGTCCTTATTGATGTCTAGTCAGTATGACTTCCACTGTAGGAGACATGCCGTGCCTTGTGTGTTCTTGACTTGGTGGAGTGCCGAGGCCTAGCGGGTGCTGTAGCTGATCGTGCCGAGGCCTACTTTGCCGAGGCCTCGGAGGCGACCCGTGTATGATGCGGGGGTCTCGGCGGTCAGCGTCGTACCCGGTTCAGGTGGAGAAGTGCGGAGTGTGTGTCCACAGGGCACGGTAATCCCTACACCATCAGTAAAGGATGGTAAAAAGGAGATTTGACCGTTGTCCCATCGCCCCTGTTGCTGCACCCTACCAGTCGTGGCTGACGTAGTAGGTGTGACCAGGCGCACTTAAACGGATGTGACGGCTCGCCAGAGGGACGGTTGAGGCGGAGGCGACGAGGATGCAGGACGAGCCCGGCCTCGGCAGAGGCGGAGAAGGAATAGTACGTCCGAGGCCCTGCCGGAGGGTCTCGGACGAGGCGGAGAACGAACGGTTGGTCTTTCATGCTGATTCCGAGACTACAGGGACCCAGACTTGACCCTCCACACCACTTTGTCCTTGGCGCAGGAGTTTAGGAGGCACAAGCCAGTACGGGTGTCAGCAGGGGGCACAGTGATGAGCACAGTGATAGGTAACCCCTGCTGCGCCCGGTCCCCTGTCCCGTCGGTCATTCTGCCTATACTGTGCCAACGTGCGGCTGATGTTGCGGGAGTAGTGGGGCGCATTAACTGGATGTGACGTTTTGTCAGGGGAGTCGGTCGGAGCGGGGGCGACGGACTATGGATAAGCTGGCCTCGCGTAATACGGAGAATGAGGCCTTGCGTGAGACGGAGGGCAGAGCCTCACGCGAGACGGAGATTGGACTCCTTGCTGAGGCCTACCGTGAAGAGCCTCACACGAAACGGAGATTGTATTCCCCGCCGAGGCCTTCCGTGGAGAGCCTCGCGCGAGGCGGAGATTGCGTCAGGACGCCGAGACCTTCTGCACGAGGCTCGAGATGAGGCGGAGAGCCTGGCGAGCTCGGACATGGCAGGTGAGGGGCCCATGGCTTACCTTCTAGCTTTGTATTTTGATGGGACTTAAGTGACCCTTTTGATGTTT